GGGGGGTTCATCCTGCTCGCCATCCCTGTCCTCCAGCTCAGGGGGCCGAGTACCCTGAGGATAACTAGTCTGCCTGTTAAAGACTGAGGCAAAGAAGGCATTAAGTACCTCAGCCTTTCCTCATCCTCGGTGACAATGTTCCCCCCCGCATCCAATAAAGGATGGAGATTCTCCCTGGCTCTCTTCTTGTCATTAATGTATTTGTAAAAACTTTTTTTTGTTCTCTTTAACGACAGCGGCCAGGTTGTATTCTAGCTGGGCTTTTGCCTTTCTCATTTCCTCTCTGCACGACCTAACGAGATCCCTGTACTCTTCTTGAGTTGCCTGCCCCTTCTTCCACAAGCGGTAAACTCTCCTGCTGCTACAGTTCTGCTCCTCTCTGCTCTCTCATGAACATCCACAGTGTCGTATCAGTAATAAGGACAGGATTCTGGCATTACTTTCCTATCCTCTGAAGACAGCCCATATCATTTGGTGTCATCTCATCAAAGATATGCTTGCCAGCATTTTATATGCTGCTACCACCAGTTCTGTTCAGCTTGTTATGGCAAAGGTAAGAATCACACACACAGTACTTACATTTTTTTGTATCACCAGGTCATACAAATCTGTTCCATGTGTGGTTAGGTGAGGCTGGGTAAAAAGTAAAAGTCTGCAGTAATGTTTCCCCAGCTATTCTGATCCTGGCGCAGAGGTGACAAAGGGATGACACTTCTGCAAAATCCTGGTCAAGCAGGGTATCTTGCTGAAATTAGGTAGCTTTATGTCTTATTCCAGAAGTGAGACTGGAAATCTCCCCATTTCTAAAAGATGAGTGAACCTGACCCATCAACCAGGAGTTCAAACCCCAAATAAACCTACCTGAAATTAATTAAAATTTTAAAAAGATGAGATGTCATCTTAAATGAGATTGATAAACAAACACTAATGCTGTAAAATGTTTTCCCCATTAGTAAATGTGACACTTTATTCCATTTTTGAGCATTGCTGTGGGCCATGTGTTTTTCAGATCTCCATTGTGATACAGAGCACTGGAGACCTCATAAGCAAAATGGAACAAACTTTAGTTCATATGTACATCAATTTGAATATATTGTCAATCTTGAAGCTGCCTTTTATTACCTTAAGAATTGTGCTCTAGGATTATTGCTTTGCCATTTATGCTACTTGATTCTGTGGAATATTTTTCATCATATGAGTCACAAATTTCATTATCATAACTGTTCACTACAAACTCTTCATCTCCCGTAGTAGTTCAGTATAAAAAGACAGCTTTCTTATCTATACTGTCCATTTAACTTCTATGTATTATTGTCATGCGTGGGCGCTTCAACTCTGACATTTCATTGGAACTGCTATCTCTTCAGTGATAGAAGAGCTCCACCTGATTTTCCTTATGCTTTGTTTTGATGTAGAGTCTAACTTACAGACTGAGGTTGCAATCATTCTTTGCAATTTTTTTCCACTTTGTGACTCTTCATTTCACCACTGCAGCAAACCCAGAGGTGCACCACAGCTCTTTATTCCCACCCCTGGAAGTGCTGTAATAGTCTGATTTCAGTAGAGGGCCTACCAGCAATAAACTCAGCTATTTAATAGTTGAATTAGAGTTTCATGATACTTTTCAGCTATGGACTGATTCTGTCCATCTTCCCACTTCCTTTTTGCTCCTGTTTCCATTGTTTCATGCATTGCAGCATCATGAGAATAACTTTGCTGAGCAAACTCTATGGAGCTAAAAAAGGCTCTCGATTCATGGTATGGTTCTTTCATTGACCCCTGCCAAAGGCCAACCACAAGCAGCACATCAGCTGAAGAGACCGGAAACCTTTGTAATAGATTTCATTCAACACTTAGCTTTGATGCATAGTACTAATGTCTGCTTTGAATCCACAAACTTCTCTCACTTCTTTGTTTGTCTATCAACACATAGGAAACACCACGTAACTATACACAGGCCTAGAAAACATGCAGTGGATAAAGCTATGTTTCAAATTTCCTACATGACAATCTATGTTAGGAATATAAAGCCTCATTTGGGCACCTCTTCCTAAAACTACTTAATCCATTTAATCTCTAAATGACAACACATAGTATTGCTAGGCAAGGATGTGGATGACAACGAACAAAATTGTGTTACACCGCATATCCTTTATCTTTTCATCTAAATACAGAGTAATGTTTGGTTAATGCTGAGAAAATTGTCAAAATGTATAATCCACATGTCTTCAGTTTATGTTCCCTGTTGGGTCTATTCATATTGTTTATAACAGTGTCAAGAGGCTTTTCCAGAAGAAAAAATCAAGCCCAAGATCTTCAAAGCAATTCATTAATTGAAACCCAGAATAGCAAGATTTTATATTACCTATATATCTTTCCCTGTGCATTCACACAGTGAAATCAAACACTATCCACACAAGTAGTTTAGAAATACCAGATTTCATAATGGTTCTTCCATTATATGCAGGTTATTTACACAATGAATTACCACTCAATAAAAATTTCATAATTTAAAATTTCATAAAGGAGTAAATTAGTGATCCACACCTGAACCAAGCTCAGATCAAGCTAATTGCGTGTGCATGTTGCACGGAGAGGATTTTAAACATTAAGTAAACTACTATTAAATGATTTGGAAAGTAAACAAACCTCAGTGTTCCTTTGTTCACAAATACACATGCCATCTAATCTGCTGCAAATATTGGCATTAGATACAGTCACACTCGTAAATATAATAGCATATAGTACTGGTCCTTTAAAATTCTCACAGCCGTGCAATGTGCCTCATTTGAGATTAAACCTTTTGTTTTTAAAAGGTCCAGTTTATATAATACAATTAAATTTTCAGTCTGCTTTAATAATCATTAAATGTTATACACACTGAGGACAAACTGGCTTTTATTCTACAAATACATGTCTTTATATTGACATGTCTGCAGCCACACAAGAATTCCCAAGCCCAGGTTCAGTGGAGTCGTCACAAAGTCCATCACAAACACTTTTGCCAGGTCTAGGTGTTAGACTGTCGGCTTCTTTTTGAGTACAGAATCATTAACAGGGTTGAGTACCTTGCACAACCCTCACTAGAGCTTCTCAATATTAAAGTGATATTTAACAATGATTCAGAAATTCAGAAATTCTGAACCAGCAGCAGCATAGACTGGGGACAAGACCTAAATGGCGTAACGTGGAAAGTGCTGGAAAATAAATGATGGCTCTGATTTTCTGCTGTGCTCTGCATTAGAGTCTCTCAGGATTCTGGCCAAAGTATTCTGGGCTGGCTGTCAGAGGTGCAGAAGGGGTATCTGGGTGTAACATCAAAGTTTATGGTGGTACGTGCATGTGAACATGTGCATTTGTGTTTAAATCACTCCACCTCTGTGCACACGTGGACTGACACAGATGTGAACACTTTCCCTTCGTTTTGCAGTATCGCCTATTCTAAGTGCAGTGCTTGTTGTTTGTATGGTGGGTCTCAGCACTCGTGGGAACAGAGATTTGGGCCCTGATCATTTTCATACTAATCCCCAAAATATGCTGCTCAGCAGAGCTGCTGGTGCTCTTAAAGGGTTAAGCAGTTCAGCCCTATCAACAAAGGGGTGAACACGCTTTGTGTGTACTTCCCTAGTCTTGTTCCATCCTCAAGAGGAACTTCAGCCCTAAATACGGCTTTCCAGACAGCAGAAGTATTCCTGTATGATGCTCAACTTGTACACTGTACATCTACAGTATTCAAACCGTCTTTTACTGATAACTTTTACTTCTCATTAATTATTTGTCAAGTAAAACCTGACAAATCTTTCACAGACAACAGTCATGATCCAAGGACTTAAAAAAAGCTTAACTCTTATCACCACTGAAAACACCAGGGACTTGGGGGTGTGTTGTGCATGAATAGCATAAAAAAGCTAATGGGATCTTCTCCAAACTTCCTTTCTAAAAGGAAACCAGAAGAAATCCAATTCTACAGTCAGTGATGAAGCTAGTAACCACTGAAATTAAAGGATTAAAACAAAAATGTGTCTCGGGTACAGATACAAGACAATATTATACTTAACTATAAATCAATAATTAAATTATCTGGACAGTTACATATATACTGTATATACTCCAAAGATATGACACCATTTTTCAAACAGATCTTAAAATTAAGATCAGTAGGAACTGCCAAAAGGACCACAGAAAAGAGCATTCTTATTTTAATCCCTCATACACCAAGTCCAGAAAAAGACCAGAAAAAAGCAAGAGAAACTTTTCTCTGAACATCATACCATCCCACTTTGCTCATCTTCATTCTGAAAGCTGGTTGATTTACAGAGGAAGATCCGCAGACATGACTGTTACACATGTGGTTTTGCAGAGAAGCACAGCACAGTGATTAGTGCATTAACAAAATCCCCGTACTCTTCCATGAATACTGTTGGACCTTATGTTCCAAGAATAGCACATACTTAATAGAATGGTATTGTCTTCACTTCGTTTTAATGGGAAGCAGAACCTTAGCGAACAGATAGTGTGTCAGTTCTTGTAATGCTATATGTCATTCAGGTGAATGTCCTCTGGTATGATATTTCATATAAAAAATGCAAAGGCTCTTGCCTCAGACACATAGGTGGATTTTCTTACCTTTGGTTCCATTGAAATGAAGCTGTGGGTACCTCTACTTGAAAGAACAGACCTTTTAATTGTTTTACTATGGTAGAAGTGGTAGTAATCCTTCAGTGTTCCAATCTGTAAGGGAAGAGAAGAAAAAGAGAGAGGGAGATTTAATTTATGAAAACCAGTTTTCTGCTTTTAATTTCTAAAAGTCTATAAATTATGCAATATCCTGTGTGCTGAAATGTTACTTGAACCCACTGATCATCTTTCAAAAGAAGGACATATGATATGAAATGGATGGAGTGTCCTTGAGGCTGTAAATGCATAACCAAAGATTATAATTGAGCTGCTTAGTCTGGCTGTATCTACCTTTTTAATGTTTAATTTATATGCAGTACTTTAAGTAATTCTATACCAATCTATATCCAAACTGTCTTCAAATGGCAAGTATAAAAATCATCAAATGGCTATATGGTTATTAAAAAGCATTCCATCTAGTTTGCTTAAGGAAACGTACTTTAAAATGCACTAGATTCAGTTATTTATATAATTAAATTATAAAAAGGACATTCACAACAGGAATAGGCTTCTCTTTCTGCCAGTGTGGATGAGAAAGAAGTAGAAGAAAGAAAGATGGAAATGGTAACTTCATAGGATAATGACTAGCTCAAAGTATAAAATCACTTCATGCAACATTGCGAATTTCACAATGGTACAATAAAATTACTTCTTATTCATCCCATCAGTACACAGTAGCAATATAAATATTAAACTAGACAGCCTTCACAATTTGACAAAGAAATTTTCCTTTCCAGAGTCATTAATATCTAAACATTCATAACTTGAAACTTTTAGTTTCACGCACCTATAAACAAACATTCAGCCTCCTTGTCTTTAGGGAGAATGTCTCTCCAACTTATTTGGAATTTGACCTTCTATTGCACTGCAAATCTTGTAAGACACTAAATAATTTAGTTAAAAGTTCCTTAATGATGAGCAAAAATGGGACAATTGAGCTTACTTTCATTTCAAGTTGAAACTCAAACTGACCTCAGAAAACAGGCTTGGTTTTGCAAATAAATCTGAATGAAATCACCAGAGAGGATGGAACAACACTTGAAAACTCTAATCTTAAAAAAAACAGTATTCTGAATTTGCATGTATAAGAATACACATATAGGAAACTTGGGAGTTCAGCAGTAAAGGTTCAGAAAGAACTGGAGATAAGCCATTGAAAACCTCCAAGAATATGCTCTTAGAATATTAGAAAACAAAAATCTTGAGAAAATATCAAAGTAGACTAAGAAGAAATATTAATAGAAAGTTTTTATTCTCAAGGAGCACTTGAATATTTTACCTTAAAATTTAAGGATGTAAACAGCACAGGGGAATGAGGGAGAACCTTTTTGGAAAAAAAAAAAGAAATATCAACAATTTAAATGAATTCACCTAATGCGAAAAACTGCAACAGGGTCTAAGATATTAATCCCAGTCTGTGCAGTTGGTCCACTGATATCTCATGCCAGGAAGAGTGACTTATGTTTAGTTTAAGTCAAACATTCAGTTAAACTGAGTTAGTTTATCATAAAGTAAATAGGAAGTGGTTTGACTAAGCCTAATTAAAGTATATTAGCACTGTGATAATAATTTTCATGCTGCCTTCTCCTTGAAAGGCAACTTCAGCTGAAGTGGTGCAACTCTGTAGCTTGGATGAGCCTGGTCTCACATCTCCACATGCATGCCATGAATAAACCCTCCTTAAACATATATGGGGAAGTCTTCTTGTAGACACCACAAAGGGCTGCAGGACCCTGGACCTTCTGGGGAGGTCCCTGCTGACTGGAAGCTAGTCAATGTTATTCCAATCTACAAAAAGGGCGTGAGGGAAGACCCAGGGAACTACAGACCTGTTAGTCTAACCTCAGTTCACGGAAAAATTATGGAGAAGATTATACTGGGTACTACTGAAAGGCATTTAGTGCAATCATCAGGCACAGTCAACATGGGTTCACAAAGGGAAAGTCCTGTTTAACTAATTTGATATCCTTTGATGATAAGGTCACCCGCTTAGTGGGTGAAGGGGAGATGGTGGATATAGTTTTTCTGGATTTTAGTAAGGTTTTTGATACTGTCCCTCACAGCATCCTTCTGGACAAATTGTCCAACTGTGGGATGAGCGGGTTCATGGTGCGCTGTGTGAAGAACTAGCTGAATGGCAGGGCTCAAAGGGTTGTAGTGAATGGGGCTACATCAGATTGGTGGCCGGTCACCAGCAGTGTTCCTCAGGGTTCAATTCTAGGGCCAGTTCTGTTCAATATATTTATCAATGATCTGGATGCAGGAGTTGAATGCACCATAAGTAAGTTTGCTGATGATTCCAAACTGGGAGGTGCTGTTGACTCTCTGGACGGACAGGAGACCTTGCAGAAGGATCTAGATAGATTAGAGCACTGGGCTATGACTAATGGGATGAAATTTAACAAGTTGAAATGCCAGATACTGCACCTAAGATGAAGTAACACCGAGCACAAGTATAAACTGGGAGAGGAGTGGCTGGAGAGCAGCCCTGCAGAAAGGGATCTCAGGGTGCTCGTCGGCAGCAGGCTCAATATGAGTCAGCAGTGTGCCCTGGCAGCCAAGAGGGCAACCCGCACCCTGGGGTGCATCAAACACACTAATCAAAAGAGGTGAATATCCTGCTGTATTCAGAGTTGTGCGGCCTCACCTTGAGTACTGTGTGCAGCTCTGGGCCCCACAATTTAAGAAGGATGTGAAGGTCCTTGAAAGCATCCACAGGAGGGCAACAAAGCTGGTGAAAGGGCCAGAAGGCATGTTCTACGAGGAGCACCTGAGGACTCTGGGTTTGAATAGTTTGGAGAAAAGGAGGCTGAGGGTCGACCTCATTGCTCTCCACAGCTTCCTGAGGAGGGGAAGTGGAGAGGGAGGTGCTGATGTCTTCTCCCTGGTATCCAGCAACAGGACGTGTGGGAATGGTTCAAAGCTGCACCAGGGGAGGATTAGACTGGACATTAGGAACCATTTCTTTACCGAGAGAGTGGTCAAACACTGGAACAGGCTTCCTAGAGAGGTGGTCAATGCCCCATGCCTTGTCAGTGTTTAAGAAGCTTCTCGACAATGCCCTTAATAAATGCTTTAATTTGGTCAGCCCTGAATTGGTCAGGCAGTTGGACTAGATGACTGTTGTAGGTCCCTTCCAATTGAAATAGTCTATTCTATTCTATTGCATCACTGTTGACTACATTAACTACAGTTTATTCTGAGTTTAACAGTCTGTGGCACATTGAATGTCCCTTAGCATCAGGCTACTGTTGCACTCTTTTAAAATTATTATTATTTATAACAACCATTGAAATTTGGTGCCAGGGTTAGCACCAGTGCAGGTGATGGCACGCTTCCCTGAGACAAAGGGGTGTAATCAGTCACTTCCTGGACACTTCCGGGACTCATCAGTAGCCTCAAACAGAGTTGAAGTGCTAACTACTGCAAAGTGATGCTACTCTTGCTCCTTAAGTCCTCCGAGACCAGTAAAGTGCATGTTCACCACACCAAAGCACTCTACAAATGTTACAGGCCTTTTATGGACCTTGCTGTCTTCAGAGTGAATTTGAAACCTACTGCTTTGTGTGTGTGTGTGTATGTGCACGCACACGTGTGTGTCTACATGTGCACACACGTTACAGAAAAGACACAGTTCAAGCAGGTAACTGTATTTTACCACTGCACAGAACTGCATAAATAGCAAGGTCATATTTTAGGGAAAATAAATGTCTGTCCTGTTTTGTGCTACACAGATCTCATTATCACCCAGTTCTCTGTGTCTTGTCTTGCACTAGTTTGAGGATTTTTATTTATTTATTTATTTATTTACTAAAGATAAACTCTAGCTGACCCCTCTGAGGGCATCCAAAACAGCAAATTTAGGAGGTGACCTAATTGCACTCCTAGAGGTCCTACAGTTTAGCAGCACTAGCCACCCACAGAAGAGACCAGAGGGATCTGCATGCTCTACCTTCCAGCCGAAAGGGGACAGCCTGAGGCTTTGTAATGCTTGACAGCCGTACTCCCTCTGAGACCTTGGGCTCAGGAGACAGAATTAAGCTCTTAGAATTAAGTGTGGTAATTGTAATGCCATGTCTTCCAGGCACCATCAGTTTTCAGATAATAACAATTATTAATAATAATAATTAATGAAAATGGTGAGATCTACAGCTTTAGTTCATAACTGTCAATGAAATGAAAGGATCCCAAATCTTTTAAATGGAATTCAATTCATATTCACTAACTGCCAGTTTCTCTCACAGTAAGGTAACACCAGTGTTATTAAAAATTTTATTGCCTTCTTTTCCTTTAATGGGAATTTCCTCAGACCTTCCAAATCCTTGGACTACTTGGAGAACAGTTAAACCATGGAAATATAGCACAATAAAACTTATCATTATGGATGTTCTTGTTAAATTGTTTCTTATACTTTTAACTACCAGGTCTTAGAGGCACTCTCAGAGGAAAAGCAATGCAAAGACAGAAACACCAGACTGCAGAGCTAACTACCTTAGAGACTGATGGCAATTTAACTGTTTTATCTTTGGGAAATCTTTGTAATCTCCTTTTTGACCTGGAGGGCCCAATTTCTTCAAAAAGAAGTAAGAGAAACATTCCTGAGGAATTGCCTGGCCAAAAGCAAGGAGAATGGATGGCGGGGGCAGGGGAGACTTACTCTTTTTAGAAGTAATCTTCATCATTGAACATTTTAAATAGATATATACATATATTTTAATTGTACCATACTATGTTTACTCAAGGATGAAATAATTCCTGGAAGTAACAATCCTACAATATCACAGTGGAATCCCAGAAAATCAAAGCATCCACATATTTACATTAATTTTATATTTACTAGGTTGAGAAAATGTGTGAATTTTAAAGATAATAGGAAACAAGAGCCAAACTTTCTAGGCTTGTCCTTGGAAAATATTTCTTCCATGTGTAGTTTTATAGTCTAAGGCAATATTAAGAAAATTTAGGATATAATTACTGAATGAATTCATCTACATCCGCATTGTGTCCTCATAAACTCTGTAAGGAAATAAAAATGCTAAAGCTGCCTGTTAAAT